GGAAGGGCAGTGCAGGGAGGGAGTCGGAAGGGGCAAGGGGGGGAGAAATACCCAACATTGTATCCACATATAAATAAAAGAAAATTAAAAAAATAAAAAAAACCAATAGTTCAGAAGATCAGATCAATAAAAGGCTCCATAAGCTTCAGTAAACTCTTAAAAATACAATATTGATCTTTTTATAATATATGCTTATAATATGTTATTAAATATGTATATCATATGTTGAAAAGACATATTCCCAGTACTAAATTTACTTAAAATTTAAACAATACTAAATGAATGATAAGAGGTAAAAACAACTTACTTGGCAAACAACTATATCAGGAATCGCTCAAACATTCCTTCCCTAAGCAGAACTATCTCATGAAGACAGTGACCTGTTTTGTGATTTAAAAAGAAAAATGCTAAAGCATCTTAAGTTATAAGAAAATTTTTAATTAAAAATAATAGTGCTAATACAAAGTAGCTTACATGAGTCTAAATACTCGATCATCTGCCTCTTGTGAATATGAAATATTAGTTTCTTTAAGTTCATGAGAAAAATCTTCATTTACAAATAGAAGGAGGTGTATCACTAGGATTTAAGGATGTCTAGAAAATAAAATTAGTTTTTTTGACTTATTTCTAAAAGTTAAATTTTGAAATACCTTTGTTAAAGAAAATGACAAAAAATATAGTTTTTTTAACATACCAAAGTAAGACAGAAGCATACGAAAATATCGACACCTACAGAAACCAACTTTGTGACAGTAGCAAAATTACAAATGATTTGGTTAATCATATCCTATGATGTAAGTCATAAGGCCTATGTCTCCTCTTTGCTTCTATTTTGTAATCAAGATTGCAATCACGAACAGGAATCATAGCAAGGCCTCAAATCTTTAGATTAAAAAGACTAGACAAAAGCTACTTGCATTTTGCATTACCTACATTTTCATTCTTAGATAAAACTTAGCATTTTGATCATTTTTAAAGAAGTCTCAAAGTAAGAAAATGATTTCACAGAACTACTTTAAAATTCATGACAACTATAAACTTGATATTCAATTTCAACTCACAGGTACCTTGATACATAATCTTCAATTTTAAAGTTAAAACTACGAACACTGGGCATGTTACACAACTTCTGTGAACCCTAGTTTCTTCATCTATTAAATGAGATTATCACCACCATTTGTGTAGGGCTACTGTAAGGACAGCAGATCAATGTGCTAAATTTTGTGAAAAGCATCTAATAGCATGTCTAGTGTATCAAATCTGATCTTAAAAAAAAAGCTATGATATAGTATTGGGGGGAAGAATGTGTAAGAATATGTAAAGAAGAAAAATATAGGGCATCTCCATATTCTCTTATCTCCTCTTAAGGCTCTCTATTCATTCATATAATGAATATATACTAATTAAGTGCCTCTATAAGCCAGGTACTGTTCTAGGCACTGGGGATACAGCAGTGAATTAAACAAACAAAAAAAAACTTGACCTCATGGAATTTTTCCTGTAGTAGAAGGAAATGGCCAAAAGAACTCTTAACAAAATATATCATTTAATATTTTAAGTTATTAAAAATTGACAGTCTCTAAAGCAGGAAAAAGGAATGCATCTAAAACCAGTGAAATTTCTGAAAAAAGTATGCCAACTATATCAATGTCAAAACTAATCACAAATACTTAAGAGAAAGATGAAAAAGATTTTTAAAAAGTTAAAAGAATTTGTTTTGAGAAGAGTAGGATTTATGGGTCAGTCTAATTTAATTACAATAAAAACTGTGGATTTATAAATACATCTAACAAGTACTCATACCAACACTTTTTTTTTCAGAACTGTGGTTTGAACTCAGGGCCGTGCCCTTAGTAGGCAGACAGTCTACATTTGAGAATGCCCCCAGCCCTTGTTGCTTTTTTAGTTATTTCAGGTACGGTCTCAAGTTTTACGCTTGGGCCAATATGGACCGTGGTCCTTGTATTTATGCCTCCCGTGTACCTGGGATGACAGGGGTGCACTACCACATCCAGTTTATTGGTTGAGATGGAGTATCGCTAACTTTTTGCACCACCATCCTCCCAATCTCCACTTCCCAAATAGCTGGGGTCACAGGCATGAGCTACTGCCTCCACTAAAGTGTAGCCCTGACTGCTCTCAAACTTATGACCTTCTTGCCTCATCCTCTATACCTGGCTGGTTACTGGAATGCACCACCACAACCGGCCCAACACCTCTTAATCAAACATTGGATACTGTAAAGAATATCACGTCATACAGCATCCCCATTACTTATGGATTTATATTCAGCTAGACAGACATGAAGAATAAACACTCCATGAATAGCAAAATAAAAAAATAACAATATAAAGAAATGCTAAACAATTCATTGGCTTCATATGTATACAGTTTAAAGTTTAAAGATTTTTGTTTTCTTTTTTCTTTCTTTTAACACAGGGACTCACTATGTAGCCTAGATTGGCCTCAAATTAGCAATCTTCCTGCCTCTACCTCCTGGGTGCTTAGAATTATAAGTATAAACCACCATTCCCAGCTCACTTTATTTTTTCAGTCCCACTTTCTGGCAAGTGAAACTACAATGAACAAATTAAAATTCACTATCATCTTATCTTAAATCAAATTTTTATTTTGTAATTCTTCAAATATTGTAGAAGTTAATATTAAATGTAACATTACATTTTAAAATTATTCTACATTTATCCTAGATTAGTGTCAGTCTATTATTCATAAATAAGCCTGTTATCTCAAAATAACCACTTATATTTTTGTAACAAAGTACTCTTACAGAATTAACTAATTTGTACTGCATTACTATCTTGTGAGTAGAACAATTTTTACTCCCACTTCTCAAATTAAAATAACCAAGACTCAAAAAGGTTAACATTTGCCAGATAAGTCCCAGATAAATTCTGAGATTAGAAGCTAGAGCTGAAACACTAAACTACTACTCCTAGAAAACCTAACAAGGCCAATATAATTAATAGGCAAAAAAAAGTCATGACAACTATATTAAAGCAAAAATTACAAATTACAAAGATAAATCTAATTACTTGAGAAAAAAACCACAGTTAAGCATGTTAGTAGTTATTATTTGCTTACTTTAGAGGTAGTTTTATGCTCCAGACTTGCTCCAAGAATATTTTGGATCCATTCTTTAAAAGATGGTAAAACCATGCCACTGAGAGGATACCTAAGGGACAAAGAAGGAAAAATACTAGAGCAAGGTAGATTCTGCTTCCATGAATAATCATATAGATACTATCAATCCAACCCTCCCACATATACCTGTAAACCCAAGACAAAACAAAACAAAACAAACAAACCCAAGCTATTTGATGGCAATATAGACAGACCACAAAAGCAGGCAAAAATAGGGGTAATGGGGTATGATGCATTTGGAAGAAAGGGGAAAAAAAAAGTAAGTTTCAGTTTTATTTTGTTTTTGTTTTATTCAGGTTTTAGCCTGAGAGAACACCCCAGATGGTGCCTCAAAGGGTAACAAAAATGCTGAAAACCTAGTCAAAGAACCAAAGAGAGAGATGCCCCCCAGTAAGTAATAGAAATCTGAGCAGAGAAACAGAAACTGTAGGAAAGAACAAAACAGAAATTCTGTAATTGAAATTGAGACATTCTATTTCAATCTCATTATAGTTTTAATTTGAACTTCACTTGATTACCTATGAGACTGAGCATCTATTCATATATCTACTGTCCATTTAGAGAACTGTTTAGTATGCCAGTTCAAGTTTTTTGGTTATTCTTTTGGGTTATTATTGATTTCTTATTGATGTATCAGAATTGCTTATATATTATGGAATTGGGAAATGTATGTATTAAACATTTTTTCTCTTATTCTCTGATTTACCTTTTCACTCTCTTGCATGAGTCTTTTGATGAAAAGAAATGCTATTTTAATATTGTTTAATTTTTTCCTTTATAAATTTTTGTTGTTTCTGGGTTTTTGGGTGGGTGAGGAATGGCAGTAATGGGGCTTGAACTAAGGGCCTCATGATAGGCCAGCACACTACTACTTGAGTAACACCAACTTGAGTTAATACTTTTGTTCTCTTTTTTGCCCACCTCAAACTCGGAAAGATCTGATGGAGTAACTCAAATGGTAAATTCCATTTGTATGTTTAGGGAATTATCCTTTGTATGACTCTTGGAGGGAGCCAAACACTACCTTGCACTACAGTGATTACTGCCAAATGTTCACTTTCCTGGTCTCCCCTGCAAGCTCCCCTTCTTCTTCTTCTTCCTCCTCCTTACCATGGACTCTGACTCAGGAGTCAATGATGCAAAGAAATGAAGCCTTTAAAGAATCCATGATGGTAAGAACGGTGGTGGCAGCAATCTCCCAATGTCTAAAACCAACAGATAAATTCTCTGGCTCTATTACTGCCTGGATAAAAATCTCCATCAGGACTATCCAATTCCCTTTGCTCTGAATTTATGCGCTAATAATATCTGAACTTGTTATTTAAATACCTTAATATCAGAAAGGGCACTAGCAAGTATTCCTATTGAATACCTAACTACAAATGAATCCACTGGAGTTCTATTTTCTAAAATCAGTCTCTTCTGATTGTGTCAGATCCCTACAGCCTGACTTCCTCTGGGAAAATTGACAAATCAAGTGTCAGTACATCCAAAATGAGAACCAGATTCTGAACATGCAGAACCTTCTAAAGTATAGTTATAGTTACCTGTGATGTTTTCTATGACTAATCATTCATTTCTCTCTCTCTTTCTCTCTCTCTCTCTCTCTCTCTCTCTCTCTCTCACACACACACACACACACACACACACACTTCTATCATAAATCATTATAAGCCTATGGTATTCTACATAAAATTATATGTATCTTAGGCTTTTCAATGGCACTGTGCTGAAGTATAAGTTACTGATACCCCCTTCCTTTTTTCGTGGTCCTGAAGTTTGAACTCAGGACCGCTTACTAGGCAGGAGCTCTACCACTTGAGCCACGCCTTCAGCCCTTTCATACAATAGAAGCACTGTAAGTTCAATGTCCAAAGAAAGTGAGAGAAATGAAGACGTCTCTCAAAGAAGAGAGTTTGCCTCTAATTTAAGAAGACTTATTTTTTCTCCAGAAGATTTTGAAAAGCCAGCCTCTATAAGTTTCTGCTGCATTAGGCATTAATCCATTCAAGACATAAAAGACTCAATATTTAGAACACTGGTAAATTTAATTTTAACCAGAAATCCCTTCAAGCTGAATTAGACATTTCTCAATTAAGCCTTATGAGTGGAAATGAGAACGCAAATAATATTTTTCTTATTAAAAATGAATGTCAACATATTGACACACCTTCAACAAAATTAGTTTCTAGGGGCTGGCAGAGTAGCTCAAGCATTAAGAATGCCTGCCTAACAAGTATGAAGCCCTGAGTTCAAACCCCAGTGCTGTAAAAAAAAAAAAAAAAAATTAGCTTCACATTTTACTTCAGGAACAAAATATGTATATAAGTCAGAAAAATGGAATGATTAGGTTGCAAAGAAAAGGAAGTAACTTCTCCAAACAAATAAAACTTATTTTCTTGCTGGCATTTCCATACCATATAAGTTTAAAAAGTACATTAACCTAAGCATGTTAATGTCCAATAGATATCAAATCCTAGTGCAATACTGGAATAGACTCATAATATATCTGACCCAATTTTTACTTAGTAAAATTTACTTAGGTAAATTTTTAAAGCCAGCATTCAAATACAACATATTTATATTCATTGCCCTTCAAAGTTCAAGATTCAACTGAAAAACCGAAACACAGATCTGACGGGCAGTGATGCTTAAAATCAATCAAGCACTCACTTCATGCTTTGTCCACATCTGGAACAGTTAATATTATCTCAGAAAACAATTTTTAAACCCTATTTATATTCACATAGACCTAAAATTGTTACCTTTCATTACTACCCACATTCAGATATAAATTTATTTCAATAAGTCAATGGCATACAGACAGGCAGTGGGGTGACTACAGACTTTGTTTGGATCCTGATTCAAATAATCTACCTATAAAAGTCATTTGTGCCGTAATTGGGGCACAATTGAAGACAATGTGAGTACTGACTAGATAATTAGATATTATAAAATGTTTGTTATTTTGGGAGTATGATAATGGTAATTCACATATGATGGATTGTATTAGGTCATTTTTAGGATACATACAAATATTTAGAGGTGCCATGACAGTGTGAGAATTTAAAATATTACAGAAAAAAGGAACTATGGCAAAATGCTGGTAATTTTTAAATTGGACAAGGGATCATTATATTATCCTCTCTATTTTTACAGCTGTTCAAAATTTTTTGTAGAAAGATAGAGAAAAAGGAATAAAATAAACAAACCAGAATTACCTTTTCCCAGTTAACTCAATTTGGCCCTTCTTATTGAAGAAGAACTTGGAATCATTATATCCCCATCCATTCCATTTCATAACTTCTTGCCTAATGAAAAGAAAAAAAAAAAAGTGTGTGTGTGTGTGTGTGTATATATATATATATGACCTACATTAAACATCTCAACCTTGAACAGCATATCATTAACAATTAATTTTCAAAATAATTTAAAATCATTATACCTGCTAAAATGAGTATATATAAGATGTCTACAGATTGATATTTCTAAAAAAAAAATAATCAGTCTGATGAGCAGCACAGGGTTACAACCAATAAATTTAATGCATTCAAATGGAGGAGTGGCTGGTGGAGTGTCTCAAGTCATAGAGCATCTGCCTAGCAAGCACGGGGCTCTGAGTTCAAAGCTTAATACTACCAAAGGAAAAGGAGTCAGATGAAAAAGGAAGAAGATGTACTTAAAGTAGAAATATGCTTCATTTTGTATGTTACTGACTTAAATTGTAGGAGATAGCCTAGCATGTGCAAGGCCCTGGGTTCAATCCCTGACACTGCAAATAAATAAACTGTATGATGTCCTGAAGAGTTTTGCAATTAAATCTAAGAATTCACTTGAAAGTTGGTATATATTAGAAAAACATCATAATTATTAATTTCCTACTATAATGAAAAAGTACAATTTATAAGGTGGGTTCACTAATTGTAAACACGTTAATAGGCAGGTTAAAAATCTCACTGGGCATGATGGTACACGCCTGTAATCCCAGCACTTAAGGGGTGGAGGCTAGAGGTTCCCGAGTTCAAGGCTAGTCTGGACCATACAGTGAGACTCTACCTCAAAAAAACCTAATAAATAAATAAATATCTGTGTTGGTTTATAAAAAGTCCAAATCCTTCAATATCCATGTAACTGCCAATCTCTACTTTCACATATATATTGTAACAGTTAATGACTATATCAGTTTTCAGTATTCTAAATTCCAAAATACCAATATTTCATAGTTTTTCAAACTACTTTCATCAAAATGAATAATAACTCAGTCAATCCATTTTGCACATCACATAGGAAATACATAGTCTGGACCTGTGTAGAATATAGTAGGCAACCACACTGAAATATGGTATCAGTATTAATTACATGTTTAACACAGTGTGCTACTGTGATCTTGGTTACAGCAATAAATTAGACATAAATCTTCTTACCATGAAAATAATTTAATGAAAAGTGATCAGTATCCAGAAAGTAATCTGTCACATTAAAATTTCGAAATAGCTGAGCATAGTGGCACATACCTCTATACTCAGCTAGAAAACTTATCTCTTTAAAAACTGCCCAACACCAGAGGCTCATATCTGTAGTCCTAGCTACTCAGGAGGAAGAGATGAGGAGGATCATGATTTGAAACCAGCCCTGGCAAATAGTTCAAGAGGCCCTATCTTGGAAATACCCAACACAAAACAATGCTTATGTAGTGATTCAAATGGTACAGTGCCTGCCTAGCAAGCATGAAGCCTTGAGTTCAAAATCCCAATGACAACAAAATAATAATAGTGAACTGGAAGTGTGGCTTAAGTGGTAGCACACACCTGCCTAGCAAGCACAAAGGCCTCAGTTCAAACCCCAGTACTGCCAAAATAGTAATTAAAAAAATAGTAATAATTCAAAATAAACAAAGATACACAAGCGTTCTAATTATCCATAATTCTCAAGGAAGAAGAAAATACTGGCAAGGAAATTTTTTCTTCTGGTAGTACTGGGATTTGAACTCAGGGCCTCGTGCTTGCTAGGCTAGTGCTCTACCACTTGAGCCACTCTCCCAGTCCCTTTGGCTTTACCCAGGCTGACCTAGAACTGCAGTGCTCCCAATCTCAGTCTCCCAAACAGTTAGGATTACAGGCATGTGCAAGTGACGCCAGGCCTGGGTCTCACATTTCTATCTGGGCTGGCCTGGACCAATATTCTCCTATTGCATTCCTATGTAGTTGGGATGACATTCATGTACCACCACATCCATCTTTTACTGGTTGAAATTGGGTCTTATGAAAAATCACAGCCTCCCCAACAGCTGCAATTACAGGCACACGTTGGAACAAATTGTTTGTTACAATCATAATTCTTGCTCTAGCTCAAAGGTTTTACAAACAAGTGGTACATGAACATAATACATCTGGTCCAGATACAGGCAACTAAATATGTACTAAAATCTCCATCTCTACACAAAATTGAGACAAGGAAACTAAGAACAGTCTGTTTAAAATTGTGATTTGCTAGCACTCAGGAGGCAGAGACAGGAATACCACAATTCAGAGGCCAGTCTGGGCTACATAGTGAGACCCTATCTCAAAAAGCCATAATAATAACAAAAAAATAATAATATAAAATTATGGTTTGCTGTCAATAACATAAAATTCCAATACAATACAAACTATTAAAAAATACCTCAAGTATCAATCTAGAGACTGACTAGATTTGTAGATTATTCAGTTATAAGCTAATGTCCAATATGTTCTTCCAACTACAACATTCCTAACCCACTGTAGAAGAAGTTTTGGAACAGAAACATTTGGAAAAGTCTCTATAGAAAAACTTCAAACTAGCAGAGGCCACTATGAGAAGGGGACCAGAAAGAAGTGAAGAGGTCATCTCTACAGATGAACCAATGTAGGTTGCAATACTGTATGGAAGCAACACTATGAATGTCTCTGTATAGCTATCATTATCTCAAACTAGCAAAAAATGCTATGTCTTTCTTATTATCTCTTATGTTTTCTCTTCAACAGAATTAGAGAACAAGAGTGTGGAACAGGTTCTGCCCAGAAAGGGGGGGGGGAAGGGAGCGGGGAGGAAGGTGGCCCAAACAATGTATACACGTGAGTAAATGTAAAAACGATAAAAGAAAAAAAAAAAAAAACTCTTTGATGATAAAAAAAAAAAGAAAAACCTCATGACCAATGTCACCAGCGACCCACTCATTTTCTTAATCACTGAATTTAAACATTTATCATGAATTCTAAATTCTACAAAACAGTAGTGTGATATTATACAAAATAAACATAAAACTACAAATGCAGTCATTTTACTTTGGTATTATAACCATCAAGCACTGGGAAATCATTTCAGTTCAGATGTTCAGCTTGGCATGTTTACCAAGTTTAAGAATGAGGATCATTTTCCTTAAAATTATTCCTAGAATTAAAAAATATATTCCCAGATGACCCCAAAGTAAAAAGTTAAACCTAGTCATACGGGTTCACTCTTAGCACTTCCAGAAAATGAATCAAGGTGAGGAGGAAAAACCTGCCTTTACATACAATAAGAGAAATTTACTACCGAAGAGTCTTTGGCTTTAAATATGTAAATTGGGAAATATCCTAGAGAGTTTCCAAGTTTTCAAATGTAGGTTGATGTGTCTTTTTCTCTCTCTTCATTCCAATCAGGAAATTCTTCCTTACTGCTATAGTTTAGGTCTGGAATTTTCCCCCAAAAGCCCAGGTGTTAAATGCTTGGTCCCCAGGCCATAGTACTATTGGAAAGTGGTGGAGTGTGTGTGGGTAGGACTTAGAAGATGATCTTATGTCATTAAGGGACTGTGGACCCCTAGTCTCTTCCTCTCTCTTTTTTCACATCCCAGTCATGAGGTGAACAGTTTACTCTACCATATGCTCCCTTGCCATGATGTGCTGCCTCATCACAGACCCAAAGCTTCAAAACTGTGAGCCAAAATAATTCTATTAATTTGATTTATCTCGGGTATTTATTTTAATAATGGTAATTAACTAATACACTTTTGATATGGACCTTACCATATTTATACCAACTCAGGAATAGTCCCAAAGTTGAAATGTAGGCACTTAAAATGCATTTGTGCCCAATATAGTATTTCAGTTATATACACAGTAAGTAGTATATAACTAAAATGTAAGTTATCCCAAAATCAATCTCCTGAGTGCCCCTGTATTGAATAAAAGTGGGTAAATTTCCCGGGCTTGTTTTAAACTTTTATGTACATGTACACTATCAAATTTCTAATATAGCTGGGGGCATGATTCAAATGGTAGAGTGCTTGCTTAGACCATACAAAACCCCCGTACTCCCTGTACTCCAAAACCAAAAAACAATTACACACACACATTTAGATGTCTGTAAATTTAGATGTCTTATCTCAACCAGCAAAAACCCTTGTTCCTTCCTGTTATTGCTTATACTCTCTCTACAACAAAATTAGAAATAAGGGCAAAATAGTTTCTGCTGGGTATTGAGGGGGTGGGGGGGAGAGGGAGAGGGCGGAGTGGGTGCTAAGGGAGGGGATGGGGGCAGGGGGGAGAAATGAACCAAGCCTTGTATGCACATATGAATAATAAAAGAAAAAGAAAAAATAAATAAATACATAAAACCTCAAAAAAATAAATAAATAAATGGTGGTTAAGTATAGTTTCAAATTTTCAAAATAACTTCCTATATAGAAGTACCTTGAAGGGTATTATAGCATTAACGTTTTAAAATTACAGTAAAGCTCTACACACTACATAATTCAAAAGCTAAAAAGATCCTTAGAACTACCTAGTATGGGGCTTGGCATGGTGGCAGCTACATGGGAGGCAGAGATGGGGCTACTGCCCTCCAAGGCCAGGCAGAGCAAAAGCTTGAGGACCCTGTCTGAAAAACAAACTAAAGCAAAAAAGGGCTGGAGACATGGTTCAAGTAACAGAGCACTTACCTAGCAAGCATGAGGCCCTGAGTTCAAAATCCTAGTGCCACCAAAAAAAAAAAAAAAAGAAACTACCTTAACTGTTCCATTATGAGATAAAGAAACTGGATATATCCAGAGAAGCATGCATAGTCACATAACTAAACTCCCAATCTCATGAGAGGTAATATCCAAAACCCACTAAGTCATGTCCTCAAGTAACCAACATAATTTGAAGGAACCCTTTTTCACCACTTCAATATTTTTCAAAGTACTATGTTATTGTTGCTGTAGTCATTCTTCTTTACTGACCTGAAAGAAAACATTTAAAAATCAGGAATATCGTTGTGTCAATAAGCCAGATGCCCAATACCTCCCCACAGTGTAATAGATTCTGCCATT